CCTTATTAAAAAATATTTTTCGGAGGATACAAAAATAAAATCCATAAGGTTCAGTTCCCCATAAAGCCCACTCTCATAACTCAAGTTATAATTTACACTTAATATTTCGAGTCAAAGTTTCAATTTTAAACAATTGTAATAATTAGTCATAAATGCCAAAAAATTAAATACAATCAAAAAATCATCACAATAATCAGTAAACAAAAACAATAATTATATCTCGCCAACTTGAGACGGGAAATAACAAAACATGAATTGTACTTGTTCATATTATGATTATATACTTATTGAGATTATTTCCGAATCCGTCTTTATAACATAATAATTAAAATTTAGGTTTAAATTGATAATTGTTTTTTTATCAAAATGAAAATTGAAAAAGTCGAAAACACTGATTTTCTAAAAATGTGATTTTAAAATAACAAATTTATAAATAATTTTGTAATTTATGCAATTATTCAAATTTATTATAATAACAAAGTTAATCATATTGTGTATATTTTAATATGATTGTTACATTTCGATATTAACTTGTGTTTTAAACAAATTTACAGTTCTGAGGATGGCAATTATTTTCTGAGGATGACAGAAATAGAAAGTTCACACTTTTACATCTGTCTGAAATGGATATTGAGTAAGTTACTATTTTTGAATATGGGAACACGTCATTTCACTTTTTAGGTGTTTAAGTCTGTGTTGATAATGTCTGTTTGTTACACGACTTACCATCCTCAGAGATATTTATAGCACTGCCACTATTGATTTAAAATTCTATAAATAAAATTATCAAAGAATTTTTATAAAGTGAGTTTTGTTAATTGATTATATCAATTAATCGTCAAAACATAACAAAAACGCCAAATAATATATAAAATTGATTGATAAATTGAAGAAACATTTTATGAGAATTAATATTGTATAATAAAAAATAATATAAACATATATTTCTTGTGTATATATGTTTTTAAAAAATAAATAAACCCGTTTATAACAAAAACAATAATTTTACAAATTTGTTTATTTATTAATCGTTGTTTCATCGATATCCAAAACCTCTCTTTTTGAATTTGCGCAAATACATAAATTGTCATCGCATAGAATATACGTTATTAATACGTTATTTGCTATCAATTTTTATTGTTTGAAATATCATGAATTGATTTATAATAAATTGTATTTTTTGTGAAAAAGATTAAAAATTGTTCGATTAATTTGTTTTGTGATTTTGATAAATAAATCGACTTTTTCGATAATTTATATGTCTGTCAAATGTTTTC